AGCAGATTCAATAGATTTTTTTCAGAAATCTCACCTTAAGGTGATTACAGCACCCCCTTATAATTTTGGCACAAGGATATCTCGAAAAGTAATTTTTTTAGAAAACTTAAATTTGGGCAAAATAAATTAAGCAATAATATCTAGAATATGCATATTTTTTACAGTTTTAATTCCTTTCAGTTTCCGAGAAAAAAAATCAAAGGGCTTTAAATTTTGAAATATCATAATGAAAATAAATGCATTTCTCAACAGCACTATTCCTAATATAATCCCCAAATTTAAGCTCTTAATCTCTTGTTAATGATTTTTTAAAATTCGCCGAAATTAGTGGCTAAAACGCCTCGTTAAGTGCTTTTTTCTAGTGTAACGCGTCTGTAACTATAGTATCGTACAGTCTGAGTCATCATTCGTTTCTTGCAACGATTTACACCAGTTTAAACCAGAAAATAGCACTTAACAAGGCGTTTTAGCCACTAATTTCGGCGAATTTTAAAAAATCATTTACAAGAGATTAAGAGCTTAAATTTGGGGATTATATTAAGAATAGTGCTGTTGAGGAATGCATTTATTTTCATTATGATATTTCAAAATTTAAAGCCCTTTGATTTTTTTCTCGGAAACTGGAAGGAATTAAAATTTTAAAATATATGAATATTTTAGATATTATTGACTAATATATTTTGCCAAAATTTTAGTTTTTTAAAAAAAATTACTTTTTGAGATATCCTTGTCCGAAAATTATAAGGGGGTGCTGTAATCACCTTAATATGTTATTCATATCATATTTTAAGCCGTGATAAGGGCTGTTATTTTTTATTAGCAATATTTTAAAGTGATGTTCATGTCTTATTCAATATCGGTTTAAAGAGTAGATAACAAAAATTAAAGAGCTTTTGCTTAGTTTTTGGCAAATAAACAATTACAAAAAACTAAACCAGGTTATTCATTGTTATTCTATAAAGAAAATTTAGCAAAAAGTACCAAAATCAATATGTTGAAAAGGGAAAAATAGAGTAATAGAATATGTCATGAAAATCGGCCTGCCAGAAGAGATCTTGTGCCGATATTGTCAGGAAGAGGAGGAAACTGCAATACACGTATTGTGCTACCGCGAAAGTCTATAAAGACTGAGATTTCTTACACTTGTAGAAGAAAAACCAAGGGTAATGACCAGGTTACGCCGGAGAGCTACTTCCTAATCTATGGAATCTACTATAAAAGACCAAACTAGACAAGGTATTGTATCCAATGAATACAGGATATTCACAATAGATCTGAAAAGGTCGAGGTGGGGGTCGTTATATGGCCCACAGTCCTACCGAAATCTAATGTCATGAATTGTCCCGTAACCTTCAAATGTCAACCGAACTTTGGCACATTAACATAACGTTCTTCATCACACATTCCATTACTGTCTATTATTGCTGCGTTTGAATATTCACATCGGATGCATCTGAGATGTAAATTTTTTATCACATGATTAAAATTATATCTAAATGTAGATGTAATAAACACGCTCTAGACGTAGTGGTCACGTGGTAAAAACTATAATAACCAATCAGAAGTTCTATTCTTTTTGCGTTTGATTTTTGAGTTATTTTGTTTGTATAATCGTATAATAGGAATACAAAGTAATTGTCATGCGTTATTTCCATTTATTGATTACTTGCTAAAACTAATTTGGGATTTGAAATAACTAGGTATTCTCTACTTTTACTGATAGTCGGTGATATAACAGAAAAAACGTAAATTTGAAAACTAAACAAAAATTAAACAATCAATTTTATTTTCACGCTAGAATAAACAAAGGATAAATCGGGCATGGAAAGAATCCAATAAAAATAAATGACAAGTTTGACAATCCCACTACATCTTATTTCAAATTGAGATGTAAAAAATATAATCTGGATAGCTACATCTCGGATAAACAAACGCAGATGTAGATGTAGTAGATGTGCCCGATGTGGATAATTAAACGCAGCATATATCTAAGTTCAACACTTATCTTTAATTCAGACAGCAAAATATGTCCATTTTTTAATTACTGAATTAGGGTATATAAATTATGGTGGATGTGTTAAAAAACGGATTAAATGTGGTTTAAAGCTATGACGCCTAAGTGGCGAACGAAACTGTCGAAAATAGACTGATTTTTCTTCCAAAAACGCAATCTATCCTTCCGTCATCAGACTAACAAGTTCCATATTCGCCTGCGATTTGTCAACCGGTGACTTTTGGATCTTGCCTGATGTCAAAATAAACTTGAAAGGAAAACCCGAGTTGGAATCCTATTAAGCCCGTTACCTAAAGAATTTAAATAACTCCTAGTTATTACTTATAATTTGTTTATTAGAAATGATATTTTGCAATCTTTGTGTACTTTAAAAGATATATACAGGATGATTCATAACTATTTGGACATAAAAAAAGTATTGGACCAAACATGTCTCAATATAAATATTGCTGAGGAAAAAAACTTCAGGGTGTTAAAATTAAAATATTTTTTCCTATACATTTGTATAATTTCACAACAAATTTATAACTTTTAGTAAGTAATTTTGATATGAAAACATTTTTATATAAAATTGTTATACCTGTAAAAACTTTATGATTTCAATCGTTTTCGAGAAAAACGCAATTGATAATTTCAATCTCGGAGAGGGATTTCATATAGTATATTAGAATAAATCTTGATTACAACCAACTGGGTTTCTAGTTTTGAGGATATATGAAGTTCCTTGATTTTTGCTAATGAAATTCCTTTACGAAATGAACTGGGAAAAAAATATAATATTCGGCTAGAAGTAGGAGGATGTTACTTAGTTATTTTTATTAGATTATTTTGTTTATTATTCAGTTACAAGTTAATCTACAGTTTCTCGTTTGAAAGCACTTTCAGAGACATATAAAGTGTTCAATTCCGTTTTTCTTGAACAATGTTGAAATAATTAAGATTGGATAAGTATAACAATTTTACATAAAAATAATGTTTATATCATATATTTTCTAATAAAAATTTATAAAAAGGTTCGTTAAAAAGTCTGTCTCATTTTGAAAATGTTATGAAATTATTACCGTAAAACAAAAAAATATTTAAAGTTTAACACCCTGTATCATTTTCCACAGCAATATTTTATTGTGCTTACTTTATGTCCCAATACTTATGACTCGCCCTGTATATGTAGTCACTATCGTCGCGAATCATTTCTACTTTACTAATTAAATGAAAAGAAAAAAAACACTACTGTTGCAATTACACAAAACATTTATGAGAAAGGCCTAGTTGTTGATATATGACAAAAAAGTCATCAGGAAATTCAATATACCGGTGTTCCAACAAAATATTTCCATGTTGCAACAAAACAAAATTATTATTTAAAAATTCTTCCCAAAATATCAATCTGGAAACAGAATTTTGTTAAATAACCGGTATACGTCATAAGTTCCTCACAGCCGAGAACACAATGACAATTTACAAAATTAAAGATATAAAATACAAATTGGGGCATCTACAGGTTAGCCTAATACATAATATAAACTCTGTTTAGGTTAAATGGTATATTTAAAATACTACGATGAGGTATACATATGCAGTATTTGCTACAATTTAAAACATATGGATGTGACCTTCATCATGAAAGGTATCAACAGAATCAAATCTTATAAAAAGTGTTAAATAGTTGCTAATTATTATACGTGATGATTTATACACAATGGCCTTAACTATCAAATCTAAAGCCTACCTTCTGAACAAGTAATCTGGGACAAAGGCCAGTGAATCAATTCGTATTCCCAATACAGGATTACACAACTCCTCAAGCTTAGCACGGTCCAGCTCTCATAACATCACTAAATTATTTATTAGTAAAACTTTATTCGATTTGTTTTTAATAAACCATTTAACCCATCAAGAGGCAGGATAAAGTATAAAAACATAAATAGGCACCTACATAGAATATTTTAATTTTTATATAAAAATATTTCACCATTGAAAAAATTATTGAAAAATTAAAATATTTGTACTCCTTATTCAGTACTACTTAAGATAGCCCCAATTTGGATATTTTAAAACCTAAATTAATGTACATGCTAGAGCAATTTCGAGAACATAATAAAGAGCTGGATGATAGATGAGGGGGGCCAAAAAAGACCGGAATTATTTTCTACAGATCTCTCATGCCAAGTTTTTGTCTATAGAACCCAAATGTAAAATTGTATCATTGTTCCTGGTGTCGTTCTTGTGAGAACTTGTATTAAGCTTGGGGAAATAACTAGAAAACTGTCATTATATTACAGTCAGTCTATGAAAAGCACAATTTTATGAATGATTTTCTCGTTTTAAATATGGCAAGAATTCATCAGGACATCTTGTAAAGTTGATTATTGTGTCGTGCCTTATCTTTGCCCCATTTTCGCTATTCACCTATCACATAATGTATAAAGTACATTTGGTTGTTGTGAAAGAAGTGAACCTAAAACGGCAGAATCACCAAAAGGCATCAAAATAAGTAAGTTTAAACATTTTCACTGCCCAAAATTAGCAGTTGTAATGATTTCATTGGTTACCATTTCTGTTTTTTGAGTGGTTTAAACAGGCAATTTATTTTCATTTTCACAGGAAAAGTGAATGAGATATAATGCAAGGTCAGATTGAGTGGCTGCTTAACAGCAAAAAATAAAGTCATCCTTCCCTCATACAAGTTCTGCTTTCTGGGGTTCAATAATGCGAAGGGGTGAATTATAGAGATTATTACACATACAATTTTATTAGTCTATTAATTTCGAGACAGACATTCTTATTATTGACTTGTCCGGTGTATGAAAAATAATACACCTTGCGCTGAGTGTTCAAAACTCTTTTTAGTAGTGAAAAAATGTATCGACAGGTGCATTATTGAATTAAATGCAGAGTAATTTGTAGGTGATTGAAGTTTGAATACAGGCTTTTTTTTGTAAATAAATTCCGGTATTCTATGGACCTCCTCATACGAACGTGATTCATTATCACACATTTCTCTATTTATGAAAAATTAAAAAAATCTAGAGATTGCACAAATCAAAGATTATCATTTATGCACAAAGGGTGAGTCACCCGACTTAAATGATACTTCATTCATTAATTAATCTCACTTTTAAAGCCATGTTCACACCAGTAAATTTGCGTCTTTTTATGCCCATTTATTGCGTATGTGTTTTTAAAATTTATGTGTGAAAGATTTTGATAAATTTACTTTATTGTTAAATGGTTCAAAAAAAAAAAACTGGCTCTACTTATTATAAATTCCAAAGTAATTAGTTAAATTAAAGGGGCGATTAACTGTAATTTTTTACATGCAAACTTTATGGTCAACCTTTAATTTCTATTTTATATACAACTAATCATTTTGTTTTTTTTTATTTTTATCCATTAGACACACATATTTGGCATATGCTAACGTTGTTTTTTTTCAAAATAATTTTTAAAAAACACAAAATATCAGTGGAAGAAATGTATTTTACTTCTATTTTTACTATTAACCAAAAATAAAAAAAAAATATTACAATGTTGTCAGTCGACCATCATTAAGTAACCCATAATTCATAAATTCAAAAAGCTATCATAAATAAATATTAAAATTAATTAACGGTACAATTAATATAAAAATAATCTTCCACTGATCACCATGATTCCCCAATGGAAAAAGGGGATTCTGACCCCCATTTCCTGAAAAAAAATTATACTTTCCTTGCATAAGAGTTTACATTCTTCAAATGTGCCCCTTTATTAACAAGGAAGGGCTAATAAGTGCTGATTAAATAATTTTTTTATTATTTAGGGTTTATATTCAAAATAGATCCCAAAAACAACACAAGTAAACTGTTAAACTCAGCACTGAGAGAAATATATATAAAAAAATCCAATAGATAATTGGCAAAATTAATCAGGTATTTAAAAAAATATCTTCAATTGTATGTTATTTAACAAAAATATTTGACAATCGAAAATCCAAAGAATCAGTATTTAAGGCGAAATTAAAACAATGACGTAAAATTAATAAAATGGGGTTATGTACATGTGTTCAAGAGGTTTGTTCTTGGCCATTGTTTTCTTGAGATTTCATCACATCTGGCAGATCTGGTGGAGCCGAGTAAGGTATTAGATCCAATTGTTCAAAATCGCCATTATCATCTCTGTAAAATAATTAATTAATATTAATAATCATATTAATGTATATATATTTTATCTTGTTAAATCCTAATATTACTGTAGCTACTTGACAAGGCCAATGTACATTTGTCATACTGTCATGTGGTACTAGAGCAGGGACATAAACTGGAAAGGCTTTTAATAGGTAGAGAGGTGATAAACAATCATTGAACGACTTCGAGAATTTAGTGGTGTTTGATCGCCAGTTTCTTATCATAGAATAAAAATAATACCGAATATTTTAAATTAGTAGTAATAATTATCCCAAGACATAATTCTACAAAATTTCAATAGCTATTTACGATTTATTAAACTATTTACTCGAAATTGTTATTAGCATCTATAAAATAATTTTCTACTCCAATTCACTTAGGTTAGCTTGGCGGCAAAACTGTCAAATCCTGTGTATGAAGTAGGAGAACTTTTCAACTTTTGTCTCTGCTCTAATATCCAAATAAAGAATATTATTATTATTGTATGCAATCAAAAAACCAACACACAGGTACCAGTACCTAGCCTAGATATCATAGACGAGCTTTTTTAACCTATAAGTTACATAATAAATATGACTATTGCCGCGTTTGAAAATCCACATCCATTGCATTTTTACATATTGAGTGTTTGTTTATCCACATCGGATACATCTTTCCCACTACATTTACGTATACTGAATCACGTGATCAAAAATTTACTACATCTCAGATGCATCCGATGTGGATATTCAAATGCAGCATATGACAAAAATATTTTAAAAAAATCATAAAACAAGTGTCAATAACTTTAAGATGCTTGATTCAACAAGTTACTACTTTGTACATGTTTCTTATTTGCAACATAACTTATTACAAATAAATTGTACTTAAAACATAAATAACCAAATAGAAACACACATAAACTTCTTCCCAACAAAAAAAAAACATATTATGATCCTATTTTTTAGCTCTCTATGAACTAAAACCAGTTCAATTGTACACAATAAATATTAAAACAATTTATGAGGCAAATATTAATATTTTTAATCATTAAGAAGTTTTAGAAATGCACTAAATTATATATCAACTTATATCAATATCCAAGCTAGTAAATTATTTAGACATTAGTTTGTGAATACTTTAATGAGATCTGAGGCTAATTGAAAGAATGGTTATTTATTTAAACCAAATAAACAGTAAGAAAATAGTAGTTTACACTTTACTGAGTGGGGTCAAAGGACAGTTTCAAATTTTTCAATAAAAAAATAAATGCCTAAACTCATTACAGAACTATGTATACTCATTTAGTCCCAAACGATTAATATTTTCAAAAAACGAATCTATGCACAAAAAATACAAAGCCTACCTTATAGCAAGACCAACAGTTGCCGGGCACTGAGCTTTTGCTGAGCCAGAAGTAAGTCCATAGTCCTGAAGTTGCCTCTCATCTTCCATTACCGTGTATTCTTTATTGAATAGTTGTTGGTTTTGGGGTGGAATTTTTAATATGCCTGAAATAAAACGATAATTTAGATAAAAACTTGAACACACTGAAGGTAGAAAGTTGTTTACCTTCAATAATTTTTTTGAGTTCTAAAACCGTGGTCGTATCCTTTGCATCGGTGAAAATTGTTAGTTTTTTCCTTCTTATCATCAAAAATACATCCTAAAATTGATAAAATAAAAACCAAAACTCATCTTGTTGACAATCATGGATATAGGTTAAGGATAAAACCGAAGGAAGCAACTGCTAAAAACGATAAAAGGGTATTTTTATCAAATTACTACTTACCATCGTGTGGGTTAGTATTTGTATTTATTTTGGTACAAATAACCGTTTGTTTATTGCAGTCATTAATTTATTTAACCTAAACAGCAACGAGACTACAAATGCCAAATGCGCGGCTTAGGAAATGACAGAATTTAAGAGTGACGGTTCTTGATGACTCATGGCATGAAACGCAAACAAAACAAAAATTAACGGCTACGTTACGATTATCTTGGCTGCGTTCCAAAATTATGCTAGCAACAGCAACAGGGACGGATCGATCTCAAGTTCACCCACAATTTCATCTGGAACTTTCATCAAATGAAAAATGGGAATGTCTTACAAAACATTGGAGCATTATTTTATTAAGGGAAAAATGACATATTTTTGACTATTGGAAATTTAATATTAGTAAACGACAGCTACACTCAAATTCATAAATTTGGGACATTAAGGCCTTATTCCACCGCTAGTAGTCAAGAAATATTAATTTTAATACCTTTAGTAGGACTAAACAATTCGACTTATTTAATATACCACTACATACCACTAATTATGCCTTTAATTCACCAGTAAGTCGAATATTACGTGAATGTAATAAGTTGAAATCTAAAAATTGTGATATTTTTGTAACTATTAATGCTCTCAGGACTTATTTAAATAATATGGAAGTCTAACATTTTTTTTTTGTCTTCATTTTCTAACTGATTTTATAATTGTTATTTGATGCCGTTATATTTTATATTTTGTATAGTATTTTATATTACCTATATTAGTATTAGTTTAGTATTTTGTTAAGTATTTATTTTGCTGTTTTTATTCTAATTAATATTGTATTTTTTTTTAATGGGGTTACCCGTGAATAAATAAATAAATAAATAAATAAATAAACCAGGTTTCAAATGACACTTTTCTATTAAAAATTTCATTTTAAACTTTGCTTATTACTTAACGACGCGGTGGAAATGGCTTAGGTCATAAAAGTAACTTTTATAGCGGTGGTAACTAGTCACAAAACCTCCTAAGATATCATATTTGTAATAGGATTATGTTTATTACTTGTTTGAATAATGTTTGAAGCATAATCACATCAAGTTTACCTAAATAAACGAAATTTTACTTCAACAGTACAACATTTATTCACTTTAACAACTACAAACACCAACCACGCACGAAAAAACCTTTCACGTAACTTCTTTAACTTTCATTCGCAATTTTCTTCGTTAAACGAGGTGTCAGCTTCGTCTTCTAATTTCATTCTACTAAAACTTCTTCTGTACTCTTTTCCGATATATTCTTCAACATCATCGTTAATATCCTTAACTTCGGAATCATCTCTCCTTCCTAAAATTGGTCTCGGAAAAGGTGGTTTGTTCCCCAATATAGGTCGGGGGCTGTTATTCGCACTACTCGAGGATCGGACTGATTTCCTTGAATATCTTGAACACTGAGGTTCTTTTGGATTTGGGGATGATTTGGAAGAGGAAAATGATGATTTCAATGCTACATTTCTTAAGGGAGGTGGGATATATACCGGGGCTTCTGGACTTAGTTCAGATTTCATAAAAACGAGATATATTTAATTTTTTGTGAGAAATGGTTCTCCGTATTTTTTTTTTGAAATTTAAAATGACGTTTTTTTTTAATCATTTCATTTACGATGGTAACAGTATCATATCATGACTTGTATCATGGATGGTAACATATTATGCATAAGCGTATCAAAGGGGTTAATAGAATACATCTCTATTCAAACTTCATTTTTTCACAAAATGCTACAAAACGAACTAAAATCGGTAGTTATGTAAGGACCGATTCCATCGTTGTGTCAAACCAAGTTAAAAATGACATTTTTACATTAACAATGTCATTTTAATCTCCGTTTAACACAACGGTGGAATCGGCTCTAAGTCACCTATTTACAACACTAAATGGCATTCGGACATGCAGGAAAAGAACCGACACAGTATGCAATCATGGGCAGCGTTCAAAAAATTTCCAGGGGTACAAGTCTTATAGTCAGGGTCAAAACGCTGTAGGCTATAGTCGAAAGCCATGGCAAAAAATCAATCATCAAAAATCCAGGGGGCGGCGCCACATACTTTGATTTTCTTGGCGGCGCCCATGTATGCAATGTATAGCACAAGTAGAAGATGGAAAGGTTTTTGGTAGGTAGAGAGGTAACGTCAAACCACGTCGGACGGCTTGGAGAATTTCGGCCCAGGGGTAGTATTCTCGAGTCACAAATATAGATTCGCATGCGAGATTTATGATTTGTCTCACTTGGTTTTCGTTCAACAAAGTGAGACACATTGCAAAACACGTATGCGAATGTCGGTATTCGTGATTCGAGAATACTACCCCAGTATAAAGAACAATCACATACTTTGAGGTCCGACACGCCCAACGTAGGGCGCGGCCATTTTGAACCCTGTGACACAGTTTACAGCTAAAGAATCAGATCGCTCACTCTGCGTCGGAACTTTTGATCTCAATGTTTCAGTTTCACTGTGCAACTCGGATAATACAATATATGACAACCGCCTATAATAAAACAGCAGTCTTCTGCGTATCCTGAATTTGTATCCCTGAAGGGGATGTTATTTTGAAATTTTCAACTGGTCCGAGTGAGCTAACTGATTCTTTAGCAATAAACTGTGACTTCAAAAATAATATTCACTGACACTGACAGCAGCAAGCAAAATATCAGGTGCGTTTTAATCATCCGCTTCTGCTTCCGGAATTGTCGGTTTAGTCGTTTTAACCTGTCAGATTAAAACAAGAAAACCGACAATTCCGAAGCAGAAGCGGATGAATAAAACGCACCTATTAAAAATATTGCGCCAAGATGTAGGCAACACGTAATAAGGGTTCAAAATGGCGGAGTTTTCTATCTCCTTTTAAAAGGCACTCAGAAAGCTGCGCAGTGCGACCATTCTCCGTATAGTAAAAGAAAATTAAAGTATGTGAGAACAATACAGTAGCGACAGATTGCGTCGGCTTCTTTGATGTCGGAGTGGTCAGATTTTCAATGACAGTTAACGTTTTTGTCGCTTATTTCTACACGGAGAAAAGTAAACTCTAAAATTGCAAAATAGCGATGTACACTTAGAAAAAAATTAAAACATGTACATATAACATTTTAATGTATTCTAGGCAAATAAATTAATCAAAATATTGTGTAACTTAAATAAATGAGTTCCGGTGAAAATCTAGATGTGCCAATTTTAAAATTTTATCATTAGATTAAAATAAATTACTTTTGTATGCCATTCATTGTATGAAATGTGTTAAACATTTTTTGGTTTCTTCCTAGAACTAATAAATTAACTCAGCACCTTATTTTTTTTATTTAAAATGAGGTTATGTAGGTATCTTTTTAGAAGTGAAACAACATATAACAATAAAACACAATTACAAATTAGTAAGTTTTTAATGAATTTACAATACAAGAATTATTTTATTTCAATTTTTGTTCCTACGTACAAATTTTTGACTTCAGATGAGCAAATGCCTGTTGTAAGTCACCCGTTAAGCACAATGCTGCCCAATTGCTTATATTACCTATGTATATAAATAAATACTATTAACGTCACATCATAAAAATTAGATGTTTATATTTATCGATTTTATGGTTTAAAATTTGTATGGGAAAGGTTATCTGCTGCGGGATTTAAATATTTAATGGCTAGAAGAATCAACAGTGACTGTCTAGAAAAATTTGTTGGGTCCATTAGGCAACAGGGTGGGAATTTAATTAATCCAACACCTGTACAATTCGAAAGGGCATTTAAAAAACTTTTTTGTCAAAATTATCTTCGTTGCAATTTCATGAATTGTAATGAAGACCTGGACAAGCACTTGCTACATTTAGATGTAAAAAATATTGTCTCTCTGTGTCCTGAAATAAATAAAAACACTCGAGAAGCTGTTTTTCTTCCTAATTACAGCTACAGGACAGAAGATATAATAGTACAAAATCCATTTAAATATGTTTGTGGCTATTTGATCAAAAAAGCTTTAGGCATACATGGATGTGATACATTTATTAAATTTTCAAAAGAATGTGAAGATTTGGATAGTTCACAGATTTTAACATATGATTGCAAATAAAGCAGTTATGGAGGCCTAAAAACTCCAAATGAAAAGTTTATTATCTATATATTTAAATTATAAAAAAATGTTATATCTATTTTTAGCAATACCTGTGTAATGTCTGGTATATCGCATAGCTTTTTTGATATTATGAAAGAAATAGAATTTAATCATCCTTGTCCTAATTTCCCTAACGTATATATCATACAACTGTTTATAAGATTATATATATTATTGTTTAAGTGCTTAAATATTGTATAAATGAAACAAATCAAAAATTAAAAAAGTTAAAATAATAACACCACAAAATACATTTTTTTTTCTTTTTGCTACTTTACAAGAAATACATATATATTTTGATTAGATGTAGTCAATCAGAACATTTTTAATCAATGGACATAGTGAATCAAAGAACATCTAATTCATTATAATAATTTGGAGGTAGGATTTTTGATTAAGAATGTCCAAAGGTTGCACATGGTACGCTTTCAAAAATGTCTCGTTCATGTTCAATGATAGTCTCAACAGAGGAAGCACTTGGTCGATGTACTAGGGAGAAGATAGACATTTGGCTGATGACCTAGATGGATAAAAAATGTGGGAACAGCAGTAGGCAATAAACGTTTACGGTTCAACGTTTTAGAAAAACAATTCTTCTCAAAATGTTTCTCACACAACCTGTAGTTCCGATGAAGACTGTTCACATCTATGTTACTCAAATCTTCCCTATTAGAAGCTCTTAACCACATGTTGGCCCTAAAATATAAAAAAGTTGATAACAAATGTTTAGATTGACGGTAGTTCAGAAATTATATATTTTTTACATTATTTTTGTTGAAATTGTAAAAATTGTCCTCAAGACATTTAAATAATAAATATTTGGTTGTCAAATAAATATTTGGTTTTCAAATATAAAAATTGAAAGTATTTTCTTAAGACATACACCTTTCTGGCTCCATGGGAAATGCAAAATAACTTGTCCCTTTGTCTGTTTACTCTGTTTGAGATGGACAAGGGCGATAGACACATCTCTTTCTTTTCTGATCATGTGCAGAAGCCATTTCAAAAATATAACACAATAGGCCTTTTCATCATGTGATGAGCGCAAGCGCAGCCGCCATGTTGAAATAGCGCCAATTCAAAAGTTTCGTACTGTTTTGATCAACAATGGCTGGAAAAGCAATATTATCTCTACACACAAATCAATCATTAGAAAAATCGTTGATGGTGATTTACATTTTTATAACTCTGTGGAAGCACATAGTTGTGAGCAATTAAAAAGGGCCTTGAAGTGACGTGGAGTTTCGGAACAAGGAAAAAAGTGTGGCGATTGAGAGGTTAGGTTTCAATACATATTAACTGTGTAAAAAATTAATGAAAACAAACAATAATTATAACTCTATTCTAATTAATTATGCCAACCAACTATTAATAATTGCAAAAACACTTTAACATGAAAGTTAATCACGAGTATAATTAATAAGATAAATTATTTAAAATTTTAAGGATCAACATGACATTTTTAATAATATTACTGTGTATACCGAAGTAGTATTTAATATTAAAAAATATTGTGTAATACCAGACAAGGATTTTCTTCTGTTACCACTTTCTCCATGAAAATTTAGTGAACAAATACAATTTAGTAACATCATCCATCAATCGATCAAAAACTTTTGTCACTTTGGCCACATTTTTTCACACATAATGGTCATTTTGAACAGGTATAATATGTATTTTGCCTAATGATTCGATAGTTTTTATACGATATTGCAGGCAAGTCTTTTTAAAAAATAATAATTTATACCGTGTGTCACTTTTACATACTCATAACAATACCGTTTAGTTTTTCGTTTCCGTAAACATAACATATAGGTAATTAATTGATTAACAAAAATTGATTTTTCCATTAAGACACTTATTACTTTACTTTCTTTATCCCATTTTTGAAACGAATACACTTAAAATTAATATTTATCGATTATAATTTTTTCACGTGGATATTTTAACATGCTTGTTTACAAAAAAAAACAGTACGAAAAAGATGGCTGATACTGACGCATGCGCACAAAAAAATAATGTGATGAAAAGCCCTATAAATGAAAAACTAAAATAATAAAAATGTCTCAAAATATGCACTCATTGCGTTCGGTCTGCCAAGTTCCTTTAACTCCTTTAACACTTTTAACTCCAAACGACCCTTTTAGCATTCGGTTTAGTCCGATTAGTGACAGTTTTACACGCTTAAATGTCATTTAAAAGCACCCTAAAATTTGTCCCGCTCCAGCCCCTGACTATCCGAACTCGCCTACTGCAAACAAACAAAAATAATGACATATTTACATTGCATTGACACTATTGACGTTGACGTTTTTGTCGCTTATTTTCGGACATGCGCAGAAAAATATGGACCCCTCATAAAAAATGATCTGTCGCTAGTGTTGTGAATATCCGTATCTTTTTAGTATTCGGATAATACGTATTCGGAACCAAGAGATATTC